ACTAGGAAGTCGAAGAAAGTAAAGATAAATTAACATCTTTTAGAAATTGAACATAACTAGTAAGAAATAGAATTTCTTCGAATGTGACTAACTATACAAATGAAGTATTTTTTTTCCTTTCAGTTGCTTCGCAATCCATGTGAATCTCACTTCCTCGACCATCCTTTAATCTGAAAATTTGTCAATATAGAAGGTGCAAGCTTTAAGCTCAATAAGACTTATATCACTTGGTACACCCTTTTGATTAGAAACATATACACACATATAAAAGTGATAGAAAAGAATTTAACATGATTTCGAAGAATCCATTGGGATCGTAGAAATTAGTTATGGCCATGCATAAACCTATTTGTTCATAACTTCAAGAATTATAATACACATCACAAATATACATATCATGAATAAAAATGGTAAATAATTAGAACCACCTACCTTTATTCTTGTTATGAAATGAGAAACCCTTTGCCTTGAATGATCAAACTTGTAGATATAATTCTTGCAAATAATCTAAAACCTAACTCAAATTTTGAGAGGAAGAGCAGTGAAATTCGAATTTGAGGAGAGGTATGGTAAAAAAGCAACATTCCTTTTCTTGTAACCATATTTAATGAAAAACAAAATGGGAGAATCTTGTAATAATAAACATTGTTAAATTGGGCGTTTAAGTGGGAATTTGATGAGTTTTAAGTCAAAAATAATTCTCAAAAAATAATTTTTAGGGATAATTGCAGCAAAAGCCACAAACCTTTAAAATACTGGCAGACTTTTTTCAAACCGTTGATTTGTTACAGTCGTCACCCTTAACCGTTTGAAACGTTGCGGAAGAGGCCCTTTTGGACGATTTCCCTCCAAANTTGTTACAGTCGTCACCCTTAACCTTTTGAAACGTTGCGGAAGAGGCCCTTTTGGACGATTTCCATCCAAAATACCGTTAGTTGATCCAAAGAATTGATTTTGACCACATTTTAATCAATTTTAAAAGGGCAAAATGGTAATTTGCTATTAATAACATGAAATAATTAAATAATAAACCAAAAAAGGTCATCCAATTTTTGCTCCAAGCCAGCTGGTATAGGTAAATTTTGGGTGATCTACGCTGGAGCCCTTAAATATGCCGGTCCATCTGGGGTTACAATTGTGATAGTAAGGTCGAATTTGATTAGAAATGCGCAAACAAATACTCATGTAATGCTAGATTACAAGATCCACTCCGTCCCCCTTTCTTCAGTATTTATATGTGTGGGTTGGTGTTTGAAAATCTCATTGCTCAGGGTGAATTGAATGAGGTGGAGAAGAAAAATGTGAAGAAGGCACATATTTTGTATGACACCATTGATGGGAGCAAAATGGTTCTTTAGGTGTCCGGTGGAAAAGAGTGTGAGGTCATTGATGAATGTTCCATTTACTTTGGTAAAATTGGAGTTGGAAGCTGAGTTTGTGAAGGAAACAACTAAGGAGAAGATGGTGCAGTTGAAGGGACACATGTCGGTTGGCGGCATGAGAGCTTCGATATATAATGTTATGCCTTTGGATGAGGGTTAAAAGAAGAGAACAACTGGTTCTGGTTTGGGGTTTTGTTTGGGGTGGGGTTAACTTTTCTTGTTTATTATTTAATTATTTAATGTGATTAATAATTAATTACCATTTTGCCTTTTAAAATTGATTAAAATGTGGTCAAAATCAATTTTTTGGGTCAACTGGCTGTATTTTGGATGGAAACTATTCAAAATGGCATCTCCTGCAACATTTCAAAATGTTACGGGTGATGGTTGCAATAAATCAAAAGTTTGAGAAAAGTCTGGCAGTGTTTTAAAGATTTGGGGCTTTTGCTGCAATTATCCCTAATTTTTATAAAAACTTCTACATGGTGAAAAACGAAGGAAAACGAATGATTTATCTAACTTGTAACATATCTCCATGAATATCCATAACAAGAAATTTATTCTCTCCAATGAACTTGAATATGCCTTAATGTGAAAATGATGAGATTTTAACTCAAAAAAAATAAACATTTTTATAAAAAACTTTATAAAACATGTGAACGGTGATTAGAGCCTAGGTTACCTTTGTGAATACTATGTAGATGACCATTGTGGCAACCCGGTTATTGTTTAAATCTTTATACTCAAAGTTATTTAAATTAATGTCTTAAATCTTTGAAATTTTAAATAACTTGTGTCTTGGGCTTTCATTATCTTAAATGGGCTGAGCGTTCAGAACTTTTTTCTTAAATGAGCCACACCAACCAATTTAAGAATATTAAATTCTAAACTTTGCACATACCATCGATTCCTGAAATACAACCTGATGACATACAATCCATGGCTATAGGTTTTATGTAATGAGAAGATATCGATTATGCGGTTGTGATGATTATTTCTCTCTTGTTGAGCTAAATCCAATGGGGATTGAGATAAATCGATCCGTCTCTTGGCATGGCGACCCAGATGGCTCAAATTAGGGTTCGTTTCTTGCAACCAGAGATTCGCAACCATGACTTTTACTTTTTGTAAAAGAACTTCCTGGAAAGTTATTTTAATTTTTATTTGGAAACTAATTTCCAAAGGAAATTTTTATTTGAGATGTGCTTTTAGAAGAAGTTATATTAGATTATCTTCCTCCAAAAGTTCTTCTAAGTGGAAGAATATATATATATATATATAAAATTAGCTAAATGGGTCTCAAAAGTAACTTTTAGGTTTCAAAAGCTCTTTTTGGCTTCTCGAAAGCCATGCCAATTGATCCCTTATTATTTTACTTTTATGTAGAAATGTCCCCTATTCTGAAATAAATTGTTTATAGTGTACAGTCAAAATAAATTTGATTATTTTCTGAATTTTTCAGAAATAAAATATTGCCTTTGTTTGGGAACACTTTTAATCCTAATTCTATCGGATTTTATAAATTGGTCAAAATTTTCGTAATAAAATAATTGATCAAATGCATTGACCATTTGACTAGGTGTAGTAAGATATGAGTGCATTTTATCTATGTGACTATTTTACCCTTCGCATTTCTAGCCAAATGACGTGCACTTCAATGATTTTATACTTGCCTATCAATGAAGGGCAAAAATGACAGTTGACAAAGTGCAATCACATTTGACTTGTCAATTGTTGTGCGTGTATAAGGTGTGACAGAAGTGGGGCCAATTCAACGGTAAAAAATCAATTATTTGTGAAAAAGAAGCACTCCCAAACAGAGGCATTATCTTTTACCATTTTGAAAAGTATTTATAAACTATTTAAATTATAAATAAATAGAAATTAAAAATGAATAAGTAGGTGGTACTTCTGAATTTATCAGAATTTATGAATAAATAATACCAGAATATTTATAAAGATTAGCCAAACACGGACTCTCGTGATAAATAATTTATTTTAAATTTTTTTCTAATAAATAATATTTTCTAAAACTTAGTAAGTTAAATATCAAAGATTTTGAGTCTTTTTCTA